TGTAGAATATTTTTTTATAGTTTGGCCTAAAGTCTACAATTCCCTTCTAAAGTCTCAGTTCAGTTAATTAATTGCAATGCACAGCTCCCCAAATGTAGAGTTAATCTAAAATACAAGGGTAACAGGGTTGATTCCTCAGAGTTCTGTACTCAGTCTCATTAGCCCTCCTTGTGACATCATAGACGCAGATAAACCCGCTTCCCTTTAACCCCTAAGGACACATGACGGAAATATTCCGTCATGATTCCCTTTTATTCCAGAAGTTGTGTCCTTAAGGGGTTAAAAATGTACCCTCCTGATTTAAATGGAAGATCCTATGCTGCTGTAGATATACACCCCTGGCAAAGCATCATGGGTGTTGTAGTTCTGAGATGGGTGAATCTGCCATTTAGCCACACCTGGCCTAACAGACAGAAATCTCCTTGCCATATTTTGCAATCCCCTCCAGGTGATTAATGAAGCTTACCCACAATATCTCAACAACCTAACTAAATTCCTTGTCCACTCCTACAAACTCACCTGATAATAAACACACTTATTCCCTCACATCCAACATTCTCCATGATACCTAAACAGACAGACATCGCTTCAAATATCCTTTACCCAATGCACCTGACAAAGATTAATCCCTTGCAGCCCCTCCCTCAAAAACTTCAAAATAAAAAACACAAGCTAACCCAGCTTCGCCTCTCCCTTACCCAATCGACGCCATCCAACCTGCTCCACACACTACCTTTAGCAGAACAAAACCTAGATAGAAAGATAAGCTCCTACCTATCTCCTCCCTGAACAGTCAGTCACCCCATCCCCCAAACTTAAATACCCACAGCCAGTTCCTGTCTCGCTCAGATTACCATGCTGCCCCTTTAATTAAAGGATAGTAATACAAAATGCATTCAGAGTGGTAGCAGTTACTGTAACCCTCTGTTTGCCCAATGTATGGCATGCTTTGGGCACACCCATAGCACTGGAAGGGTTAAAGGATCTTGCAGAATACCTTTCCAGCTAGTGTGAGATATACAAACACATCTCCTCCAAACCTATATACCCCACATCCTAAAAATAGTTAATTGAAGACAATCGATTTGCAATAACACTTTCGGGAAAGAAAATCACCCATACAACATTTAAAGGAACAGGACCCAACATTGGCACAAACATTTCTACAAATATAGCACTATGGTACATATTTATAAATTCCTCAAAAGAAGTGTGATTTTGACATTAACAGCTAAAGGGAAAAAAAAAAAAAAAAAAAAAAGCTTGTTCCTACAAATAATAGGACATTCATTATATTGGTTTTGAAGCCCTAACATATCATATATATGTATAACATAACTCACTTGAGGCATTATTACAAATTCTATTTATTTGAGAAAAAAAAAGATTTGTTGTTTTTTGCCCTTTCAACAGCAGAAGGTAACTTCATTCATGAAAGGAAAAAACAAACAAATGAAGCTACTGATTAAGTAAATGAAAGCTTGGAAGCAACCGAAAGAGGCTATTAACGTGCAAAATTTATTTTATTTTTTCTCTCATCAATAAAATCAAGTGAAAATGGAACTACATATCCAAAAAAAAAAATTTTTTTTTTAAATGCAGAATGAAAGATCTTGCACCGGAAGGTGCATGAAGTGAGATCCCTTTCGCATTATGTGCAATCCACAAGACTTTGGCAGTGAAGCATGCATTACCAAGTGAGGTTGCCAAAAAGTGAGCTCAAGAAATGGGTAAAACAAACTGAAAATATTACAACCCCACAGATGATGGATTTAGTCATTTAAAAAGACCACCATAACCACTACAGTGCACCTCTCAAACGGTTTCGAAACAGTATGAATCTTACCAACCAGTCTGATAAAGCGAAGGCTCACACTTCCGCGTTAATATACTATCTCAAACCAGTTTTAAACAGTATTTATTGATGCACAAGCATGAACTCAGCCTGGAAAAGATTGCCGGCAAGAGTCAATCTGTTGAATAAACAGATTACTGGCGGTGCCTGAGTACTCCTGTAGTGGGTATGGTCCTCAGAGAAAGTGCCTTTATATACTCTTGTAAACTAAACACAGATTATACCTTTATTGCTTATATTTAGAACAAGAAGTAACCAATAAGATACCCCTGGCTTTCCGATAACTACAAATCTCATCATTCTTTGCCAGCTTGAAGGCAGAAAAAGCATGATTGTACTTGTAGTTCTATAGCAGGTGGGGATCTATCTTTACAGTGTGGTTGCGAACATTGTTAGATTTTTTCAAAACACTCTTTTAATACATATTTGTATATTTTTAGATGTACTAAAAAAAATACAAAGTATTGGAGTGGGGGAGATATCTAATAATGTTCACAACCACATTGTAAAGTAGATAAAAGAAAGATAGATCCCTAGCTGCTATAGAACTACAATCACGCTTAAAACAAAAGACAAAAAAAACACACAACAGAGACTGAAAAACATGTTCACATAACACTTTTTTCCCCCCTTCTTGTTCTTTCAAAATGTACAATCCCAAAAATGAACAGAATCCCAAAAAACAAACTTAAGTCAATTTATACACACACACAGGATGGAAACCACATTTACCTCACACCCAAAATCAAATACCGTATACTGAAAACCACCACCTCAACCTTCACCCCAAACTGAGTTCCAATTCACCTTCAACATACAGGGCTCTGACACACAACCCGAGGGGTCTCACACACATGCCCGGATCACCCATACAATGCTCAGATATTAAATCCACAGCCATTATATCTCAAACACACAGGCCTCATTTAGCCAGATGTCTCACTCTCTTGCACATACAGACCTGAAAGCAGAGTTTATAGAGAAACGTCAGAAATATAAAAACACAGATCACAAATACTTATTGCACTAAAATAAAACGTTAAATCAACCCAAATTAATATGCATGGTGTAAAAACAAACCTTTAGAAATTAAGTCCATACAAACTATACAAATGTAATTACCGGTAAGTATAATTAGAATGAACTCTCTCACATCTGATCACAAACCACACTACCAAGATACCTTCATTTAGATTATATTCTTTACCAACACTAAACACTATAAACTAAATGAACGATTTAACGAATACGGCATTATTTATGAACAGTGCAAATTATAAACTTTTTTATTATACAATTTTTATTAAATAAAACATAAAAACATATCAAAGATCATTTAATATGCACAACCCCCAGATCTCACTTACACAACTCTCTGATCTCACAGTAAAATATTTACGAAGCGTGCGAATACATAAAAAAAGAAGTTTAAATACTGCAATAAGCACTATTCATTAACTACATACATATATACAGCCCTCATAGATCTCAAACACAACCCACAGATATCACTCACTCACAGCCCTCAGATATCTCTCAATCACATGCAGTACATATACACATCCCACAGGTTTTACACACGCACTACATATACAAATATATACAAATACAATCTAAACTAAGTATCTAGTCACACACACAATACACAGTGTATACACAACATACACACTGTCCTCAGCTATCTCATACACATTATACATTTACACAGTCTATACATACAATTTATACACACACACACAATACACAGCCTTCAGATATCACACACACACAATACATGGTCTATAAACAGTACACACAACTCTCAAATATCTCACACACAGTCTATTCAAAATAAACAAAATACACAGTCTATACACAACGAAAACACAGCCCTCAGATATCACACACACAATACACAGTTTATAAACAGTACAAACAATACACACACTGCGCTCAGATATCACACACAGTATAATACACACAGCCCTCAGATATCCAAACACACAATCTAAACACAGTCCTCAGATATCACACACACTCTATACAGAGTATAAACACAGGATAATACACACAGCCCTCAGATATCACACACACACACAGTATAATACACACACACACACAGTATAATACACACAGCCCTCAGATATCACACACACACACAGTATAATACACACAGCCCTCAGATATCACACACACACACAGGCCTCAGATATCACACACACACACACAGGCCTCAGATATCACACACACAGCCCTCAGATATCACACACACAGCCCTCAGATATCACACACACACACACAGTATAATACACACA